AGGAGTAAGGAACGGGAGGAAAGAGCACATAGCAGAGATATATGTAAAGTTTTGTGAATTCATTTTCTTCCCTAAGCACTTCCATGTTTAAGGTATGAGTTTTAGATTTATTGATGAATATCTGCAAATTACTTTGAAATCACCCATTAAGAATATTATACATATTTTCATAAATCCAATATGTAAGTTAAGGAAACTAGGTATAACCTGCTTTTAATCACTTTTCTTTCAACAGCCTTCTTCCTGCAGTAATCCTTAATCTTTTTTACAAACAGTAATGGGATCAAGAAGGGTTTTCAATGAGTGCACGTCGGAAAATGATAAGAGAAGTATTCTTTTGGGCTTGGTAGCCTAAGTTACATTACACTAAAACATACATCTCTCTGCAGTCTCCTTTTCTCCCGTCAGCCATTGACATTTTGAAAGATTTACTGATTAGCTTAAAAATTACAGAACTTGTAAGGTTAGTGATGAGGACGTGCTAGCCTAATTATAGACGTGCAACTGCTATTAGTGCTTCTTCCTTCTACTTCAGGGGGCCCTTGCAACTCATAACTAGAGAAGAAAAGGTTTTATAGAATTGTTGCTAACATTTAAAAATTACATGTACACAATACGTTTCCCAACAACTTCTCTGAAGTTCAGTAACTAGTATTACTAATTGAGTGCCTCGGGAAAGCCCTTAATAAATCATCTAATCTAGCTCTCTGATCACAGGTGGTTATGTACATTTTTCAGAAGCAGTAAAGAGAAATGGAATAACTGTAGCAAGAACTGTAATTCCTTTAACGATAGTTCCTTTAACCCCCTAAGAGTTGTTTTGATCTTATATAAAGTAGGTGTTATTTCCCAGTGTACAAAGGAACAAACTGAGTCTTAGAGAATTACACAGACAGAAAATGAAAAATCACAAATCTAAGATTCTGGCCCGTATATGGCTCACCTAACACAAGGATTTTTATTCTATATCATGCTGTCTTGTGGGGAGAAAATGCTGTACATGACAAAACACAAAATACTGTCTTTTGTCTGAGCTTATTTTGCACTCCGTGTGAGTTTATAATACCCTTTGTCTAAACACAATCACATAGTTAAATTCAAAGTATTTGTAGCCAATAAAAATTCTTGTTAGTGTGAATTATATTTTCAAAGAAAAATTTGATCTGACCTTCCCTGAAGATATGGGGTTGTGAGGTGAAAAGACCTCATTTTATAATGGGACAGTATGTGTTGAAGATATTTCCTCAATGTCACTAAAAAAATGTTGTGAAATACTTGACTTCATGATTCAGGGCTCTTTTCTACTACATTTGCTTATACTGCTTACTATTAAAAAGCATAATGCTTATGTCAACTTTTCTGATATACAATTACATCCTAGTTTCTCCTTTATATTCTAGCTTCCTAAAGCTGGATTAATTTCTACCTAATAACAAAGTAAATCAGTGAACTGGCTGCAGCATTTACCCTGATGGGATTTCAGTCTTATGGTGAAGTTCTGGGAAAATTCTGGCTCACTTGTTACTGACATAGAAGGCTTTACAGTTATTTATTATTAGAGGATACCTAGGAGAAAAAAAAAATGGACTTACGTGATCCTGTATTACTAAATACAGAACACTGCTGCTATCTTTTCTTTACTGCTTCCTCTAAGAGTCATCATTTCAATGTACTAATCTTTTAAACAACCATTCAGTGGGAATTGGGCTAGAACTTTGCTAAGGGGTCACATTTGCCAACCTGACAGTTATACATTTACAAAAGAAATAGCATGAATTTATTCAGCATCAAAACCTCTGCATCTTTTACCACCCAACTGCATTTCACACTGTATTACCATCAGTGCACTATTATGGCTAGATAAATTCCATCCAGATTCTTCATTTAATTAACTAGGATTCTTTGAACAAAAATAAAAGTGCTGTTTTTATAGAGGAATAAAAGCTGCATGAAGTTAGTGTGAAGGAGACATATCATCAAATTAGTTATTCTTCATTGCAGCTATGGAGAATTCTCTGCCCCTCCTCTTTCATTTCAGTGGCAATATATTTTTTTCTAGCTTGATTGAATGGAAAATTGGGAACAGTGTAACAGTCTTGAAAGTGTTTTGATGTATTGTAATGGCCACATCCTAAACTCTTGCAGGGCTGAACTCTGATGATATTGTTATTTACAAGTCATTTTTTAAAAAACAGCTTCTGTAGTTGGAGAAGCAGTATGGAATAGTAGCCAGGAGCATCAACTTTGTAACCAGACTGCTGAGGTTCAAATCCTAGGTCAGCCACTTACTAGATTTGTGATTCTGAGCAAGTTATTTAACCTTTCTGTGCTTCAGTTTCCTCCCTGTTAAGCGAGGATGCTAATGGACATATCTCACACAGCAGTATGTGGATTAGCTGAGCTAATTTAAACACTTAAAGTGGTTAAATTTAATTACTTAAAATAGTAAAGTTTTGCCTCCTGTGTGCATAGCAACAGTCTGATGTGAAGTTGATCAAGCTGTGACACTGATGGTTCTTGATCACCTGAGCTGAAATGACTGATGTGGCTAGGTAGAGGTCCTTTTATTTTCCCAGATATTTCTTTGTAAAAGTACCCTTTTGTTATAAGACAATTGCTTTTAAAAATGAGGAAAAAATGTTCTTTGAATTAAGGGGTGAGTAGGCAATTCGTTGGTCACATTGCTCCATCCTGCACCTTCTACCAGATTTAGCTTTCTAAAGCACTGTGTTCTCATCAATTTCTGCCCAGAAAGCTTCCAGACTTCCCCAAATATGAGTTCCTTTGCCTATCATGCCATATGTACCAGAGTTTAGCCCTTTCTCTTCTTCTCCATAACTTTTTTTACCCATTGCTTCCCTATAGGAAGTTTCTCAAACTCAAAATTCATCTAGTGCCGTTTCTCAAATGTACCACCTTCCTTCTTACCTCTCTTCCTTTGTTCACGTTGTTCTATTTGTCTAACATGCCCTGCTCTCTTCTTCCACTTATGTAAGTCACACATAATGTTCTCAGCTGAGCCAGAAAAGGAAGGTATCTTTTATCCCCTTTGTGTTTTTTACCACATAATATGATTGTCTGGATGCAGGAGCAGCTAGTTAAATGTTAATGATGTTGAAGTCTCGTTAACTCTACTTCCAAACTATATTTAAAATCTGAACACTTCACACCATCTCCATCAATATCACCCTTGTTCAAGCTTCTATTACTTTATGTCTGTCCCCTTCCTACTTTTTCCTACTGCATGTTTGCCCACACTCTACAGTTTACTCTCAACATAGCAGCAAAAGTACTCTACTTAAAATTTAAGACAGATCACATCACTTCTCTGCTTAAAACCCTCCAGTCACTTCCTGTCTCACCTCGAGTAAAACCAAAGTCCTTACTACAAAGCCTCTTATGATCTGCCAGTCCGCCCCAGCCCCATCCCTGCCCCTCACTCCTGTCACCACTTTGCCTTCATGTACTACTACTCCCTTCTTCCTGTCCCCTCTCACCCTCCACTTCTGCCACACTGGCTCCCTTGCTGTTCTCTGAAGATGCAAGGGCAATGCCATCTCAGGGACCTTGTGCAAATTTCCTTCTGCCCAGAAAGCTCCTCCTTGGGAAATCTTCATAGCTCCGTCCTTCCTGCAGATTTCTGAGTAAGAGCTCCTCACTGATAATCTCTAATGTGCTGTCTGTCTCCCCAAACTGGAGTGCAAATTCCGGGGAACATGAGGGAAGACATTTTGTCTATTTTGTTAGATGCTCTATCCTCAGTTCCCAAAACAGAACCCAACACATAATAAGTACTTAATAAATAGTTATTGAATGTGTGAATGAGAAATTGACCCTTAAAAATATGTCCATATTCTTAACTTTCCCTTCACTTCAACTATATTTAGGCTCAGACAAAAACAAGTATCTTATAATAACTCTGAGAAAATTAAAATAGCCATAGTTGAATATTAGCCATGGCAATTGGAGCAGAAAGTTCCATTACAGAGAAAAGAGATTTCTGCATCAAGTAAAGAAAAAGAAATGGTTTATAGTACAATAACTGCCATGTTCAATTATATTGGTGTTCTGGGGGACTGTAGTTGACCCAGCACCAAGGCACATTTTGAGAGAGCAAGTGGTTTTGGTCGCCCCATCCTCTTACTAAGGTGGAGAGTATAGCTAGTATAATACATTGTTGTTTTGTTTTGTATTGTTTTGTCATCTAGCAGCAGAGTGAAATGGTGAGAAGAGCACTAATGTTGGAGTCAGGCAGACCTGGGTTTGAATTCTGGCACTACTATACTATGTGTCCTCAGATAGGTTGTGTAACTTAGCTGTGCCTCTGATAATGTGTAAACTGGTTTTTCATAATGCCTTTCTCTCAGTGTTATTCTTAAAGGTTGAATGAGAGAAGACACATGAATCACCTGAATTACTTCACAAATGTGAGCATTACATCCTGTAGAAATGGCAATATATTTTGCTTCTGAATTCTACCTTTTGGCTTAAATCAAAAGGGAGAAGTAGCAGTTAGATTGATGTCTAGGAGTAAACTTTGGCTCCTGGAGCTTGGACCACAGGGAAGCCCACAACACTATAAATCTCTCAGCAGTATCTGATGAAGCTGCCAGAACCTTCCTAGAACATGAGCCCTACCACCTACTCAAGTTTTGTGGAAGCCTACTCTTTTTACCTTTTGAACCAATTCTTATTCTGTTTTCCACTTTAAATTATCTTCTACTTCTCTTATTTTCAAAATGTTGTGCTAGGTATGTGAAGGTGGAGGTTCCATACTGACAGTTATCCAAGAAATCTACAAAGGAAAAATAAGATCAGGTCACTACTTTACATATTAAAATGACATGAATGTTTATTTTCCAATTGTGATTTGAGGAACACAGGTATATTGATTAAATTTTGGAATTATAACTTCCAGAAGGAGGAGAAATTTTGTTTAAACCACTGAACTGTTTTTTACATGGCCTTTTTTTCAATTACATTAATTTTGAAATCTTTAGGAAGCCAAAGCCGTAGTTGAAGAAACGAGAGCCCTGAGAAGTCGGATTCATCTTGCTGAAGCTGCACAGAGACAGGCACATGGAATGGAAATGGACTATGAAGAAGTGATCCGTCTGTTAGAGGCCGAGATTACAGAGCTAAAGGCTCAGCTTGCTGATTATTCTGACCAAAATAAAGTAAGCAAAACAGTCCTCTCTCTAGTTACCATGGTTTCCTTGCCGTTGTCATGTATCCTGTTTTCATTTTCTTTTCATCTGCACTTCTAAACTAGGTCAGTGTTTGTCTTCTGTTATTCAGTGATAGGATGATATGTCATGATGGGGGTAATGTGAAGGCTGAGCCTCCCTTTATCCAGATAGCTTTGGGGTGGAAAAGCATGTACCCCAAATTTATTTGGGTCAATGGTCAACATTGTACAGCTACAGCATTAAGTCCTGGAACTATTTAACATTTAATGGATTACATCGGTTTTCTCCTTTTATTCCTAAATTTGCTAATTTGTCCTGTGAGAGTGGGAGAAGGAGGAGAGCCTAAGGATCATTTTTTTTTTCTCTTTGATTAGAGCACTCAAGGAAGTGTGAAACTTAAGTAACTTTTGCCCAAGACCCAATATAATTAATAGAAAAAAACTGAGTTTGAATTTAATAGGCTCCAATTTCCATAGCAAAATACTGAATGCTTTTCAGAAGGCAACGTGAACTTTTTTTATGTGAATTTTTTTTGTTATGTGTTTTTTAACATAACATATATACTATATTCATTGAATGGTCTTCAAAACCTACAGTAGACATACATTTTTACTTTACTGCAGTAAGGTAGAAAATTAAATCAAAATAGATATTTTATAACTTTATAGAGTTCATTATAAACATAATAGGTGTTTATATCTCTAATCCAATCAACTTTGAAAGAATAAAACATAAATTTGAGCAATTTATGTCTGTGTAAGTATAAAAGAGTTAAATAGTTTAAATATGCCAAGTGGAAATAAAACCAGTTTTACAAAAGCAAAATACAGAAGAAAATCTGAAATTTTCTTTGGTTGGCATTTAAGAGTTACTAATATATTTCACATCTATCCATTTAAACCAATTCCAAAAGAAAGCTGATGTTCCTATCATTCTTTAATGAAACCACAAGGCCAAGGGGAATCATATTACTTAAGAAAGCAGCACTGTTTAGGAATATTACTTATATTTATTATCTTTGACCCAGTATTTACATTCTGAAATAATAGATACATGCTTATTTCACGTGAGTAAGTTTAACATGATTCTGAAAACATTCTGGGAATTACCGAAATATTTAAAGTACTTCTTAATAATATATTTACTTTTGAAGGGGTGATCAAGTCTTTAAAAATACTTTGTTTCTAAATAATATAATATTCAAGGAGTTCAATTTTTTTCTAAAGCTTAGGTTATTTGCAATTTTCCCTTCCATCTCTTAGCTGAAAAACATTTCTGTCCTAAGTTGTCTGATAATATAATTTAGTTCTCTTTTTTTTAGCACAATGGGGTCTCTCATGCTTTTCCTCTTAACAAGGAAAGTCCTAAATTAAGCCATTAACCTATCTCTGAAAACAATCTTTTCTTTTTTCCCCAAAAAGATGTTAAACATGGGCACCTCAACATTTTCCAAACACAATGCCAGTAGAAAAACAGAAGGAAACTTTTTTTTTAACTGGTTGAGATTGCTTGAGGAGACATTGACGGAGATGTTACAAGATTCAGATTCAAATATTCATTTTTAAGACACTCTTTTTGTAACAATGTTTTTATTTTTCACAATAAGTTTTAAAGTATTTCCAAATTTGCTTACTTATTTTTTTAAGAAATAAAACATTGCCATTACCTTTGAAGACCCACAATGTCCCTCTGCAATTGTATTCTCTTCCTTTGTCTCAGAAGTAACCACTTTCCTGGACTTAGTGTTAACCATTTTCTAGATAATTTTACCACCTATGTATGTATCCCTTACCCATATGTTGTTTAGTTTTGCCTGTTTACCAACTTCATATGAATAGAAATATCCTACTTATACTATTTCAACTTGCTTTTTTCACTCAACGGTTTGTTTTGTAATTCATCTCTTTGAAGTTTATAGCTAGTTCCTGTCTTCTCATTGCTTTTTTGTATACCCCTTGAATGGAAATACTACAGTGCATTTGTCATTCTGTATTTGAACAACAGTCCAATTGTTTCTGTTTTCTTCCATTATGAAAAATGTTGCTAAAAACATTTTTGTGGATTCATTCTGCTCCACATGTGTAACAGTTTTTCTTGGGCTTATCTCTTGGTGTAGAGTTGCTTGGTTGAATAGTGATCATTAATCAACTTTACTAGGTAATACCTAATTGTGTTTAAAAGTGTTTGAACTAATTTTTACTCCCACTTGTAGTGAATGAAAATTATAGTTTACCCCACACCCTTGTGATACGTTGTTTTCTCCTACTTTTACTTTTATATCAATCTTGTAGGTGTGATAAGTGTATCCCATTGTGGTTTCATTTGAATTTCCCTGATTACTAATGACTTTGATGCATTGATGTGCTCAGAATAGCTGGCTGATTGTCTACATCTTTTCTCTACTCCATTTTCAATAACATCTGGTTGATAGCCTGAAATCAACCATGGTTGTGTTACTTACACCCTCAAACACTATAAACTAGGATTTTGCTTCTGCCCCAGATAGCCAGTTAAACATATATTTATGTATTTGTTAGGCATATATGTTTCTCTGTGAAATGCATCTTCATGTCTTTTAACTACTTTCCCATTGGATTATTTGTCTTTTTCATACTGATATGTAGTGATTATTCATATGCTCTGAATAATAATCCTATATTAAGTTGTATGTTATTAAAATCTCCTGAATTTTTGGCTTGCCTTTCACCCAGTGGTGAAATGAACAGATGTTCTTACTTTTCATGTTCTTACTTATCAATCTTTTCCCTCATGTGTCTTTTTAGAGGTCTTTCCATTCCCAAAGATATTCTTTTATATTTGCCTCTAAAAGTTTTGAAGTTTTGAACTTCTGTCATTGGATTTGTGGCATTGTATGGGATGAAGATCCATTTTATTCTTTCTTTATTCTAAATGAATAACCAACTATGCCAGCACCATTTATTCAAAAGTCTCTCTTTTCCTAATTGATCTATAAAATCAGCTGTCCTATATCAAGATCTCATGTGCATAGATCTTTTTGACAGCTCCCTATTCTCTTTCATTGGTGTTATTTGTATATTCTTATGACTACTATATCTTTTAGTCTTGATTTCTAATCACCCTGCATAGTTCTTTTTCTTTAAAAGCATGTTGGCTACATGACCCTTTGATTTATTACACATATTTTAGACTCAGCTTATAAATTCTACCAAAGAGGAAAAAAAACTATTGGGATTTTTATGGAAAATATATTAAATATATAGATTAATTTGGGAAGAATTTACATACTTATGATTGAGTCTTTATTTATGAACATCACTGAAGCATAGAAAAGTTCATTGCATTTTGACCAGAGAATCTAGTCTGTAGGATAACAACTACACAGTTTGTTGGTGGTTGCTTCATGGCTGATGTATGGCCAGTATTTACAAATGTTCAAAGTGAACTTGAAAATAATTCTTCAGTTGTTTGGTGTATTGTTTTTATATAGTCACTAAATGAAGGTCATTAATTGTGGGGTTCAATTCCTCCCTAGTCACATTAATTTCTTTGTCAGAGAAATGTGTTAAATCTCCTTTGGGGTTTCTTTTTTTTTATAATTTTCTTTATGTATTTTGGAGTAATGTTGTTAGCAGCATACAAACTTAGAATTATGTCATCATCCTTAATGAAATGTAACTCAATCTAGCAGTCTTCTCCCCTTACTGCTTATTTTTGATTAACATTTTAAAAAGTACAATAGCTTTCTTTTGGTATTTGCCTATTTTTTTCATCTTCTAATTTCCAACTTTTTAGTATCTTTATGTTTTATTTCTCTATATGGTAAACAACATGCAGCTGAATTTTTTCCCATATTAGTAATTTTTTACCTTTAATTGGAAAGATTTTTCCATTTACATTCTTTTATTTTCTAATGCATTAGGCTATGTTACTACCTTATTTTGTAAATTTTGTTTTTCCTGTGTTTTCTGTTCTTCATTTCTTGCCTCTTTTTTTATTTGATTAGTTCAGATTTCTCCTGTGTTCCCCCATTACCATTACATTTATTTCCTTCACTGGTTTAGAAGTTATATACTCTTAATTTTTAGTGATTATCATAGAAATTTTAACATTTATTTTAACTTTAACAAAACTAAACTCTAGATTTACCCTTCTTCTAACATTATAAGCACTTTAAAACATAAATCCAATCATCCCTTCCTACTTAACTTCTATTTTTGTCAGTATTTCAGTTCTTTCTTGACATTTAACACCATAAATTAGACACTCATCCAATTTATTTAGTACAGTCAACCTTTGTTTAAATAGACCCCAATGTGTACCATTTCCTATGTTCAACATTTTTTCTTGCATCTCAGACCTTCTTGCCAAAATTATTTCTCTTTTCCTCAAGTACATTTTTTAGAAATTCATTCAATGAGGATCTATAGATAATAGACTCTATTTTTGTTTGAAAACTTTTTTATTGAATTCTTGCTCCTGAAATATATTTCGCTACATTTAAAATGTTAAATTGGCATTTAATTTCTTCCAGTGTTTTTATTCTGTGGCTTTGATATCAGCTGTCAGTCTACCATTTCTTTACAATCTGTTGTTTCTTTCTAGATTATTTTAAGACCTTTTTATCATCTATGCTCAGCAGTTTGTCTGTGATGAGTCATGTGTTGCTTATTTTATTTATATTGCTTAAGATTCTCTGAGTGTCCTAATCTGAGGAACAGCATCTTTTGCCTTTTCTGAAAAACCCTAAATTGTTATTCTGAGCTGTTTCTCTTGCATTCTCTCTAATCTCTCATGTGTAATTCAGATTGAATGTATACTAGATCTTCTTTTGGTTATTTTATTCTTACCTCTTCTCATTTCATACTTTGATTTTTATCTTTCTGCTCCATTATGAAGTGTTTCATTACCTCTGTCTTCCAGTTCACCTATTCTCTTTTCAACTGTATCTAATTGAACATTAAGTCCATAAACTGAGTTACTAATTTAATAATGACTACATTTTATTTTTAAGGTCAATTTTTTTAATGTCCTTTGGAACTATTTTGGTAGTTCTTATCCCTATATTATGCTTTAAATTCCTTCTTAATTTTTAAAACATATGAAACATTATTTTGTGTATCTGATCACTCCAATATCTGCTGTCAATCCTGTAATTTGGTTCCTTCAGCTGATTTTCACTCATGGTAGCTTGTTTCTTGAGGTTTTGTTCTTTTGACATATTATATGTAGGAATTCTTTAAGATCTGAGTTTTAAAAATATCCCTCCACATAAGTCTTATGTTCACTTCTGCCAGCCTGGGACCAATTTAAATTTTCAGCATATGAATTCACAGGCCACACAGGTAGTTTAGTACTGAACTCAAACCTGCATGAGTGAGGGCTTGTATTTAGAAAGTATTCAGGGGAGACTTTTTTTAACATTCACCAGATCCTAAATTAAAATCCTATTTACTTCTGTGAGGTTTCTTTCTTCCTAATTCACCCATTGAAGTCCTCCTATTTGTCATTTGTTCCTGATGAAACCCCAAACTGTAGGCCACCAGGAATCAGCATATACCCTCAGAGAAAATTTTAGTGCAGTATGCTCTTACAAGTAGGTTCACTGGCTTTGCTGTTGCTTGTCTTCATGGAATTCCTTTACTCTCCTGCCAGTTTAGCTTTATATTGGATTATATTACATTAAATGTATGTGTATATTGTCAGAACTTCTGGTGTGCTACACTGGTAGGGGTTTCTGTTAGCATCTAGTGAGGCATATTGTCAAAAAATAACATGAACTAATTTAAAGTATTCATTATAAGAATCAGTAAAGTCATATGCATCTTACCTCATAAAATTTGCAACATCCCTGTGCAGTTTAACTTTTAACTATACAATTAGTTAAGTGTCTCCCCAAATCAGAAGATATGTGTAATAAGAGGGAAAATAAATGATATGTTAATGTTGGATATGAGTTAATAAAACCTGAAAATAGAATCCAGTAATGTAAAAATCAAAGAAATGCCTAAGATGTTCCTCTTGATATTTCTCTCCAGGAAAGTTTTCAGGAGTTAAGAAAGAGAATCACAGTACTTGACTGCCAATTACGAAAATCAGAGATGGCAAGAAAAACTTTTGAAGCATCCACTGAAAAACTTCTTCATTTTGTAGAGGTAAATGTTCCTGTTACATTACTCTATATCCATTTTAAGAAATGTGTAGATGACTGACTACTAGCTAAAAGTGAAAGTGTTTGGTGGCTAGTGAAACATTCTCTGGGTTCAAAATAGCAATGCTGACTTACAGTCAGATTTAAAATTACCTAGATAATGAAAAGACTAGCAAACATAGATTATTAAGAGAAATAATGGAGACAGAGTAACATGATCACAAATACATGCTATGTTTTAATGAACACGTTGCTAAAATTCTTGGTATTATACAACATTATTTGATAAATATTTACCCTGTAAAGAAATGTTCCTATAGCTATTATGTTTCTGGGTAGAATTGCATGTTAGTGTAATTGATTTTCCCTCCATTTTCCCACCTTTTTAATAAATTTGGGAGGGGAGTTTATAAATTAAGCAAAAAAAAAGCAAGAAATTTGTTAAGCAAGAAAAAACATTTTAAAACTATCAATCTTACGTATTTCCTTTCTATCTTGTTTGTCTCTAGGCTATTCAAGAAGTATTTTCTGATAATTCTGCCCCTTTATCAAATTTAAGGTAAGAATATTTCTGCGGAGTAGTGCCACTGATTACATTTTTCACGTGGTAATTTACTAAACTACTAAAATCTCTTAAATAGTCTTAAGATGCTACATAATTACTACTGGATGTTATTCTTTAATGTCTTATAGGAAAAGATACAAGGACAAGTTATTTTTGACCCCATTTCTGCAAAAAAATTCCTAGAAGTATTTAGCTAGTTGTTGAAACTTAGTACTCTGAAGTGAGGTAGAAATCACCTATCTTGTTTTAGTTAGGAATTCTGTAAAGATGAGATTAACTCCAAATTCTCTACACACCCTGTGTATGAATAAAAACTCCTATACTAATCACAGGTGCACTGTGCGAGGTCAGACTCAACCCAGCAAATCAAGTATAATGGCAAACAGAGTTTTATATAACATGTTCATGCACTCCGTTTCTTTCATTCAACATTCAGTAGGCAGAAATAAAAGAAATGTATTTGGAGAATGCACCTTAACTTTGTTACTATTCAGAGTTTGTTTCTTGATTTAAAGTTTCTTATTAGGAGCTACAAACACATTAATAAGATTTATGTATTTCAAACTGCAAGTCTATGGGCATTTTGATGTGATGAAAGACATAAACAAAGTTTCCTGTTTATACATTTTCAAAACAATTTTTTTCCTCATCTTATAATAGCTGCCACTAGCAATGACTTCTAGCAATGTACACTTGTAGAAACTTAGGAAAACTCTACCCTTTACTATGAAAACAGCAGTTTATAAGTGAAGATAATTCATTGTGTTATTATATTTTAGGTTTCCACATAGCATTTTTTAATTTAGAAGAATATTTATAGTAGGACTTTTAAACTCATTTTAATGTACTGTTTTGTTTATTTTAATGAAGGAATCTGACAATCTTTTCATTGTTACCCATGTTACTTTTGATGTAAGATAACTATGTGAATTCCATGATAATTATTTTCAGTAAGGATGTTAAACTACTCAGCAATCAGATTCCCTCTGTATCAGTTAGGTGTGCCCCACCCCCACCCCGACCCCCCACCAGGGTCTCATTGTGACCTTAAATAATAATTCAAAAGTTTTGGTTTTAAAAATGAAGGTTAAAAATGACCATTTAAAAGCCAGAGTTTGCCCTTGCCTTAAACTGGTTCATGATAAAAAGGTAACTTTAAAAAGCAGTATTAAGCAACTTTTCACTATGTCTGGAAAGTTAAACACTACTAAAATTTGGTTTAGTCTTTTGAATATATTGTATCTTCTGTAACAGATATAAGCCTTGGTCATTCAACACAGAATAAAGACTCTATTTGAATTTTAGAATTGATGCTTTAGTTTTTCCTTGTGCACTAATACCATCATGCTTAAGAAGATGGATTATAAGTAATGATGATTTTGTCATGAGTTTAAAATTGTTGCTTTTCAAGTAGAAGTTTTAGCATAATGACTTTTTGTAGTAAAATCTTGCATTTTTAATTATATCAGGATACATTCATTTTAGGTGACATTGCATTTTTAAAAAGTGACATCAAAGTTCTACGTTGTTTTAGTGACAACAAATGGAAAGGTTTGAGGGAGAATTTCAGGAATAAATACGTATATTGAGTTTATATGTACTGTTACTAGAATTAATAGTAAATACCTGTTTAATAAGTTTATGTTGAAGTGCTTACTTTCAATTTTTATAAAACTAAATAAAAGGTCACATCATTTTAGCATAATACAAACACTCACTAAATAAGCCCAACAAATGATTTAGAAGGTGGGCCACCTTCTATTCCTTCCTCTGTATATATGAGGTCAACCTAATTTTTAAAATATGCCTATTTATTATATAATAAAGAATTGAAAACAGAAATACTTGTTTGTGTGAATTACTTCGTTTATGGCTATAAGAATACAGTATGGAAATATTTTTGTACACATTTATAACTAATAAGGATTTGGATTTAGCAAAGATAGATCTTATTTACTGTGTAATATGTATCCTTATTGTATTGCCCTTATAGCGAAAGAAGAGCTGTGTTAGCTTCGCAAACTTCCCTCACACGGCTGGGAAGGAACGGACGTACAGCGGCACTGGCACTTGAATCTAAGGAGCTTGTTAAATCTGTTCGTGCCATACTTGATATAGATTGTAAGTTTTCTGCATGTTTTTACTTAAAAAAAATTCAATGAAACAAAAGAGGAAAATTTTAAGTTTGACAGTTTAGTTTTATTAAATGTATTGGTTTTTGCCTACAGTAAAATTGATAGCTAATTGATAAAAATCTTAATGCACTAACTGTAGGGGGAAAACACTTGCTTTATTTAAAAACCTCCAAATGGCTTCCAGCAAAAGATAGCTAATTAAGACACGTCTTTACACGTACTTCCATCCAGTCTATTAGAAATGAAAAGGTAAATATAAAAATAAATCCTCATCGCTGGAAACTGGGAAGGGTAGAATCTACAATGAAGAATTTTTTAATATACAACAAATGGAATAAGATTGAATGTCCAGCCCAACTAAACAAAAGATCCTAAAACACAATAAAGGTGAAAGACAAAACTGCTGAATCCGTGATTTAAGTAGAACTATGGAAAAATCTCCAGGATCCCACGCAGGGGAAAAAACTAGGGACAGACGTGGGACAGTTAGCAGGGTAATCATTTAAAAAGCCATCCAGTTCCCTACTCATCAGAGCTGCTGCCTCAGGCATTTACTCTAAGCTTAGGCCAAGAGAATACCTCTGTTAAGGAACTGCATGATCTGTCACTGGACACCCCCAGCATCAGCACCAAGCTAAAAAGAGAAGCAGAGCAACTATCTCAGTAACTTCCAACATCCCAGCCGACAGGGAGATCCGTAGGGAAAACTTCAGTGATTGGACATTTCCCTCCCTCCCTCCTCCTACTCCAGGTACTTTGCCTGCTTTTTAATTGTTTATTTTTCTGTCTCTTTCCTTGATGTCACTCTGTCTGCTGGTTATCTTTGTGCTGGCCTCTAACATTCTGCTATCCCTCTGCTTTGCCACTGTTAATCTCCCCTATGCTGAGGACCAGATATCAAATATATATAAATATTAATTATATAGAGAGAAAGACAAAATTCTGTGGTAACTAAGTATTAAAATAGTAAGTTTGTGGTGAAGTCCTGAGTAGTAAATGGTTTGTCTTTGTATCCGGTAATATCCAAAGGCCCCTTAGATATTTTGACTTAAGGACAATGTTATGGAGGACTGGAAACCATTCCTCTAATAATATCTGCTCAATTTCTGCAGTGAGTTTTTTTAAAACTTTTTCACAACCTATTTTATTTCTAAAATCCAAATTATATTTCAAAAGCCCTACAAGAACTCTTTATGTTAAAAAAATCTGTGGTTTTTAGGAGAGGTGAAAATAATCACTCCTAACGTATTATGTATAAGTTCAAAATTTTATGTATCAGACATTTTTAAGTTAGAGTGGGAATAGAGGAGGGAAACACCTGCACAGATATAGCCCAGTGGGCACTGCCATCATGAATTTTAATTACCTTGCTAACATTAACCTTCATATTTGTCAAACATGATTATTCAAAGAAAATATTTGAAACTCAGCAGAACTTCTTTGGAAGAAAAGTGAGAAATTCCATCTGCACTTTTTATCTGTTTCAAGATTATACCTATTCTGCTGTTTAAAACCAGCGAAATAGTTTCTATAATGTCTTTTTATTTATTTATTTGTTTGTTTGTTTGTTTATGTTTTGGTATCATTAATATACACTTACATGAGCAATATTGTGGTTACTAGATTCCCCCCATTATCAAGTTCCCACCACATACCCCATTACATGTCTTTTTTATTTAGAAATATAATTGCTAATGTTGACATACTTTCCTAGTACTTTTATAATTTTATAAGACATATCTTTTAAGTTTGATAATCCAGGTACTCAGCTCATTTTTCTTTCTCTTTAAGCTGTAGTTTTTTCTACATGTAATGAAAAGCAGAAAGTTACTACCATGAGGCAGATAATTCAGCCACCTGAGCCTCCACCTCATTTCTTTTGCCAAGGCCATCTAGTCATTTCAAGTTAAAATTGAAAAATATCTCTTGGGTAATTGCCTCTACTTTCTTCTTAATATAAGTACACTCTAGGATGATATACTATGGGATTTCCTTGGAAATGAGAGTAAGATTTCTTAGGTCTTCCAGCCTAAAACCAACCTCCAAGGAACACCTGGAAGACAATTCTGAACCTTTTTTGAGTGGTGGATTCCACTGAAATCTGGTGAAAGCCTTCTTCCCAGAAATATGCAGTAAAGTACATTTTGCCTCCATTTTAAGTATGTTTATGATCCCCAACTTAAGAATCCTGATGCAGAAACATAGAGAACATGAATGGTTTCTACAGCATAACAAATATGGGCAACCAACCCTCATCAGAATACCTCTAGCAATGGAGTGGTATGTAAACAATAGTGGCAGCCTGGAATAGCAGTGTGAATCTGTGTAAACCATGTTCCTCAGTCTCTGGCATTCCAGAGGTGTCCCGGAGAGCACTCCAGTTAGTCATCTGACTTTGTGGGCAAATGACTTAACCTCTGGGCCTGTTTCCTCCTAAAAAAAGTAGAGATCATGGTATCTGAAGGGACAGGATTGGAGGATTAAATGAGACACATGTAAAGTGGCTAACAGAGCACCAGTAGTATAAGGTGTTCCATAAATGAACATTACTGCTACTGTTGCTAATGATGGTACCCCAGTATTATTATCATTTAAAGTAATTAATTTAAATGTACTTTTTCTCTTGACCTTTGAAAGGATATGTGGATCCTTTCAATAAAAAGACAACATAGAAACTATTTTGCTGGTTTTAAACAGCAGAAAAGGTATAATCTTGAAACAGATAAAAATTATTTTCTAAAGCTTTCAGTTTTAATACATTTGAGAGTACATGGTAGATGAGAACTTTGCTTAATGTATAACATTGCATGTTATTGATTTTAAGTTAGAATGTAATCATCACAGGAAACTGTGGCTAAATGTCTGAATCAACATCTTATCTTTCAGTTGTTTATTGCTAACAGTAAGGAAACTTTGGTCTGTTGCATTAATTCCATTGAAAAAGTATGTGGACAGAATAGACATTTCTCATCAGTTTTGAACCTCCTTGAGGTGCTTTTATTATCTCCATTGATATTTATTGGTGGATATTATAATGCTTTAGTGTACTCTATTTGAAATAACTACTTGTTTTGAACCATAATCTTTGATTGACATCTAGATTGACAAAATAATTCTATAACAAAAGCAGAAAGAGGCAGTTCTATTTTTAAAATGTATAATAAAGCCATATCTGGTCAAATATCCCATCGGAGGTGGTTAATAAAAAAAGAACCTACTGACTTCAAGGTAAATTGGCAGCATAAGCACAAGCATCTACCTTCCTTTAAAATTCCTATGATAATGATAAGTAGAATATAAAATAGAGTAAAAATCTTCAAAAGGACTAGCAGTTGCAGGCAGATCCCAAAAACTTTTTGATATAGGGCACATAGGACCACATAGCAGAAATGCACCAAGGGCCAAATCTGCTGAATAACAGTAGTGATTATTAACAGGAGGGTACCTCTTAATGCAGTCTAATTTGAAGGGGTAATGAATAAAGTCAAAGACTGGCTACAGGGTAGATGGAATCTTTCTATTTTTTAGCTTGGTGAGTCAAAGGCATTTTTGAAATCCTCAGATTCTGTGTCGAGCAGAGGGCCAACTGGGGCTTGGTCCTTTAGGCAGCATAGACATACTTTAAATGTGGCACACACTGGGGCATAGAGGAAGCTTTAAATGTAAATAAAGGGATCCCAGCAGAGTGGCTTCTGCACCAAAAGCCGCATTGCTCTGCACGGCCGCCTCTGGTCCCAGCTTGCCTCTTGCTCCCTCACACCCCTGCATTATTATTCTTGCAAGGCAAATGCACACTGGCCAGTTCCCAGCCTGACTTTTGAGAGCGTGGCTCCAACAATAACTTGGATGAATGTCAGGGTAACCAGGGATCCACATATCCTTTCAAAGGTCAAAAACCAGTTCAGTTTAAGCACTCTTTACCTACATTCAGGCTTTTATAAAGAGAAATTTATTATATATGTATACATACACACATGCTTTTCTTTCAAGCTTTTATAAACATTTATATACATAATGTACCAATGTATGATTATGAAAAAGCCCACAGTATTAAAGCAAGAAAATATAGCTTTCAAGATTGAGAATAGACTTTTGGCCAAGATGATAGAGTGGTTTCATGCCAAAAATCTCCCCATTCTGCTCCTACACTAAGAAATGATATTTTAAATTGTATTTGTATGTTTAAAAGATGAAAACCAGGAAGGGAACATCTCCCTGCTCCAAAAACAGAGTGTAAACCTATAATGATAAGTGAAGTTTTAAGCTTCAAGATTGAGATGAGCAGCTGAACAAAGGTTTCTATACCTGAAAGACCCAAATGAGGACTGAGCAAAGGAAACAAGCAGGAATCTTCTGAAGAGAATACACTTTCTCTTCTTAAATTACTCATATATTAGGCATTTTAAAAAATCTCTCTAATTTAAGAGCCATCTGGGCCTGCTACAAAGGTTGAAAGTAAATATTCTTATCCACTACAGGTGGTAATATAACTTGGCACAACATTCTTGGGAATCAATTTTGTAGTATATATCAAGAGCTTTTAGAATATCTATTTATATTTTTTTGAAAGTTAAAAATACATTTTAATGGTCGTGAAGTTTATCTTAGTAATTCCACCTGTTGGTATCTTTGGAAAGACAGTAATGAGAGGCCACATTACAATATCTATCTAAGTGTTTTCATCACAGCATTTCTTATAATAGAAATATGGAGGTTCAATTCTTACAAATTGGTTGAACAATTATGTAATATTTATTCAACCAATTGAAAATAAAGATGAGCTGTTCCCCTACCAAGCAATACCATCTGATTACCTATATTTGTGTGAGCCTCCTGCATCATTTCAGGTGTTCCTATCTGAAATTAGCAATATTTTAACTTGTAAAATTAGATTGTCAGTAATAGCTGTTTTTTGTCTTTCTATACAGAAGCTAATTAGAAATTACTTAGGCAGATAGGAAAAGGTTTTATGAGAAAAGAGGAAAC